TGATACGGCTATGTACATAGATATCATAATCCATAAATGGATATTAAAAGGTTTACACATACATATTTCTTTCTATTATTCTGTACAGTAACCCATTTTAAGTGCATCCTTGATTGACATTTAATAACAAGTAAAATTCAATGTCTATGTAATAGAGCACATCATTTATTTACCAATTACTCTTTGACCTTTTATATTGATTCTACTGTACTAAGTCTCTTTTAATATAAAGCTAAACATTGCAAAAAAATCACATTTTACTTTTTGTAAATACAATACATAATTGCTTTCATTAACTTGATATTTTAATTAAATCATCCATGTAACTACAATTTTGTTATTCCCTAATGAAAGCAATTAATTAATTTTTCTCAAGCAAAATGTATGTGTATATATGTATAGACATATATACGAAATAATCATGAAAAATAATTATAATTTGGTAAAATAATGCCAGTTTTTCCTAAATTACCGATTCTGTCCAGTTTCAAGAGAATGAAGGAAGAAAATGGCAATTTGGATGACGTACGACGCTGTCACGTAAATATGTTAGTACATACTCACCGTGTGATTGACACCCCACATAAAAACACTGAGAAGAGGTTCATTTGCACGAAACAGCTTCACCTTTTGATGTTTGACTCGAAAATGTTTCTTTTTGAGCTTACTAAGCCCACTAGACATTTGCGGTGCACTGGACATGTTACTCGCGTTGATGTCTACTTCGATCACTCCTATTAACACTTTTGTTACACTTAACGAAAAGTATAACTTCTTTACATTGTCATCATTGTAAATTGCCTCGTACGTCGAGACTTAAACGCGCAAAAAAGTCGCAACTGCGATGTTATAATCACCGCGAGTACCCCACTGTACCTGACCGCGGTTGATTAGCGACTGAATTCCTTTTAAAAATGGCGAGGACAATCATGTCCTACCTGCAATTGCAACAGCTATAGAAACTCTGCAGATATGCGAGTTGGGCCGTGGCACCATTTCCAACTGTAAACAATGAATTTTACTTAAATTTATGGTGTAACAGTTTAGAATAAACGTAACACCAAGCAACAATTGAATTTCATTGATTTAATACAAAATTTCAATACAATCCTTATCAACAATTGGAAAAAAATTGCATTGCTTATACCTCATATTACAAATTTTAGCTTTTGCAGAAAACTATAAACGGTAATAAAAATTATTATGAATTTTTTCAGGAAAATCAGTATAGTTACCTTGACATTTTAAGGCAAATTACGTCATTGGTTTTGTATAATTGTAATAATCAATATAAAACATTACTGCAGTGTAAAATGATATATAAAATAGCGTGTCTCAAATTCCTAAAACCAAATCAATAGATGTTTATTTTACTTCTTATTCTTTTGAACAATAAATTACATAAAATACTTTTACCTTTTTATACATTTAAAATATAGGAGTTTCAGCTGTTTAAACACCTTGGAAACGTAATGATTTTAATGCAGTTTTCAATAAATAAAAGTTGTAGACAATTCAGCCTTAAAGAGCGATTCATTGTGATCATGTGAACGCATCGTAACGCGTGCACTAAGGAAGCCGCCACTAAAAGTCGTGCTAAAAATTCATTAAAATATTAAAGTCCACGTTCGAATATAAAAATGGAAACAATGTCGAATCCTTATCCAAAAAAACTGCACGACACTTGTGAAGATGAAGAAGAGAGAAAACACTTTCAACGTATTGTGTCGGCTTTCAAATATTACAAGCAAGTATTTTATGAAAAATCATTTAATATAAGGCTGTAATCTTTGAGTCGATGTTTCACCCTTATCTTTATTGCCTTTATTCTTCCACTTTGTTACTTGTATATGGTAACTGTGATAAGCAACGAGTCGTTTAAAATTTTTTTGCCGTTGTGAAAAGTTCTCCAACATTACTTAACCTTTGATGATACGACACTACGCTATGACATTTTCTGTCTAATGTTTCACGATTGTCCAATGAATAAAAAATTGTATTCCATATTATGTTATTAAAATATAGCTCTGTAGACAAAACCACAATCATCTGTGTATGTTTAGAAAAAAAAAAATGTAGAAATACATGAAATAAAGTAATATACTTGTGCCTAATTTGTCAGTTGTTGATCACTTGTAACCAGAATTAGTTTTAAATTGGTAATTGCATAACATTGCAGTATAATTAAGAATATAGTTGGCAAATGTACCAAACTCTTTTCATTTAAAAATTTTTCTTTTTACAGAAATCATTCACTGCTAAGGGTTAACAAAACAGAATCCTATTTATTGTCACTTCCAGCACATCATCAGAAGCTTCTGTCAAAATATAGGGAACATCTACAAGAAGTTAAACGATGTATTGAAAATAATGATGAAATAATTAAGCTTATCGTAAAGGATGTAGCACATATTTTTGAAAATGTGAGCCCAGCTAGTGCACACACTGAAAGTGTAAGAAAAGTTTACCTGGTGTGTGGCATGTATATCCTGTTGTTTAATATTTTATGTTTATAATATTATGATCAGTTAGTTCCATTAATCCTATTAGATATAAACAAAGCATTTTTGTTTATATTACCAAATAGTTATTGTGATTTGTGTTGATCAAAAGCAAAATTGTAGTGTTACCTAAGTATAGTCATTTTTCATCCATTTGGAAACATTTGATTATTAACATTGTTTAAAAGAAAAATTTTCTTATATTTTGATATCAAATTCCTAAGAGAAAATATCTAATTTATTCTTTTTTTCAAGCTTGGTTCTTTTTTTTTGTTGACTTAACAAGCTTCTTTTTTTATAAAAGTATTCTATTGTACAAAATATAGGTAGGTCTGATTGCAGACATTAAATCCTCGTCCAGTAATGGCTGATCTGGAAAAAGTTCAAGCTACAATTAAACAACTAGTTCGAGATTGGAGTGTGGAGGGTACAGAAGAACGTACTGCGTGTTATCAGCCTATTATAGACGAAATCATGAACCAATTTCCGTTAGAATTTTGGTACGAATCTTTCGGACTACATAGATACATTAAGTACAAACAACTATACTATTATATATATTTAGTATAGCTACAGAGTTGTAGTAAAACATGGTTGAGAAAAGTATGAAATGATAGGTAAATTTCCAGTACACCATCAGATGTGCGAATTCTAGTACCTGGTGCAGGTTTGGGCAGATTAGCGTATGAAATTGCAAGACGTGGATACACTTGTCAAGGAAATGAATATTCTCTCTTCATGCTGTTTGCTTCACATTTTGTATTAAATAAGTAAGAAACAGTTTTAAGAACCATTTTAAAATGAAGTAATATTTGTCAAACAAACATTCCATTTTATAGGTGTAGGGGAATAAATTCATATCAAGTACATCCATGGGTGCATCAGTATATGAATAATTTAAAACCAGAACATCAAACTCGAGCTGTTTTCTTTCCGGATGTAAATCCTAGCGATCTTCCAGAAAATGCACAGTTCTCTATGACAGCTGGAGATTTTTTAGAGGTAGATTCATGATACCTCGATAAATGATGAATATATTCAAAGTTTGTATATTACAGGTTTATACAGAAGACAATCATTGGGACTGTGTTGCTACGTGTTTTTTTATAGATTGCGCGAACAACGTTGTGCAATTCATTGAGACTATTTATAAAATTCTAAAACCAGGAGGTATATGGATTAATCTTGGGCCATTACTATATCATTTTAGTGATATGCCAATGGAAGATTCAATAGAACCAAGTTATGATGTTGTTCGTGATGTAATTCAAGGTTTTGGATTTCAATTAGAGGCAAGTTAAATGGAAAATCTTTTGATGAAGTTGCTAATATCAAATATAACATCATTTAATCAACCCTTGTTACTTACTGTATGTTTTTAGAAAGAAGAAACGCGCGTAAAAACACGTTATGCTCAGAATGTTAACAGTATGTTACAATGTGAATATAATAGCGTGTATTTCGTTTGTCGGAAACCTAAAAGACGCATAGATAATGATACAAGCCATAGAAATGGCTCCGAAAGTAACGGTATACAAGAACAAGAAAATTAACTATCGACAACCTGATGTATTTTATTTGTAAGAAAGATTGATATAACTGTAAATGCATTATGTAATAGTTTAATTATTACAAGAGCAAAGCTGTTATACTTTATGAACACAAGTCAATATTAGGTAATTTGAATCTAGAAAGAAAACAAAAGTCTTTAAATATAGTTAATAATTGAAGTGTTATTTTCTTATCATAAATTTTACTTCAATAAGTAATAGCTACAAATGATAAATTTATTGTTAACAAATTGGATAATAAAGTGGCACGGTTATTTTGATCAAAAATCAAAACAATTTGATTCAAATTAATTTAAAATAATTCCAATAACAGTTTTGCAATTTTCCTTTGAGTTCATTTGTGAGTTAGATTATTATTAACGTTTATTGTTTGAATTATTTACCAGATATCATTATAATATGAAATAAAAAAAACTAAATTTCGTTACATGTACATAATATACAATATCCCTCATTTGGATTGTTTTCTTCCAGCTTATAAACAGACTTTTAATACGAATGCAAATTAACTTCAAATTTTTACCAAAACCAGTGTTGCCTTATCCAATTTTGTTTTAAATGTTCAAATATTACTATCACGAAAATGATATATTTTCAGAATCTTGGTCATTCTGAATTTTTAATCATTGTAATATTCATAATTTTTTGCATTTTGTTTTACTTAAAATTTCATTTTCTGTTTCAAAAGAAATATCTAAAGTTATTATAATAACACATTTATCAATACTATGAAGTAAACATTTATTTTGCAATACGGAACACATAGAACCAAAATGATTGCAAGTTAGGCCTAATAATGTAATTAATTTAATTTTTTATTAAAAAATATATAAGTATTGTTAACATATTTATTGTCTTTTAAAAAGTTATATTATTTTATGTTACTTGAAGTAAAAAAGTGATGTAAGATACAGTATGTCAATAACTATTCTGTTTACAAACTTTTATTAAGATACTGTACAAATAATGCTGCAATTTGATTAACTTCAATTTGTTGCATCTTACTATAAGTTAAGAACTGTCTTCGTAGCCTCATAAGCTGTGCTGCAGTACACGGGTTTTGGACTGTTAAGTTATATTTTGGTATTTTAAATTCATTCTCAATACCCAATTGTTTAGCAGACAGTATTGCCTTTATAAAAATAAGCATACCGATTTATGATTCATTATAACTATATTAGTTATTTATCTTTGTAATATTATGAACCATATTGTAATTAATTAATTAATTAATTGATATACAAAAATTCTTGAATAACTTACATTAACAACTTCTTGTGTTACTGTATCCAAATCGTATAAATAATTTGTTGATGACAAGGGTGGCTGGAAAGAAATGTATATTTTTATAAAGTACAAACTAGTTAATAAATTTAAATTCCAATTATTTACTTCACATAAATACTAACACACTGAGTACTTAAATTTGGTTTTGGAGCTTTCACTTCATACAATGATTTATAAATTTCATCAAAATTCAGTTCATCTTCTGCTGACAGAGCAAACAATGGGGTATCCCATCGATTTTTATTATCCGGAGCTTCATATCTGTGTATTATATTATAAATCTCTTTTATTATATAATAACAGAAAACCACATCGTTTAACTTTAATTACCTCATTACTAATGCATCAAAAATTTCTCTACTATATTGTTCACATTCTAGTCGTTTTTCATTCCACAACCAAGCATGTTCAACTGGTATATCACAATGTATTGTACACTGAGGAGTTTTATACAACTTTGTCATACAATAAATTTCATAACGATATCCTTTAATGTAATTACTACCGTCAATTATTAACACGTCATTTGCATTTAGCACTCGCTGTACTGCTGACTTTATGTCACTTCTAACACTCTTTTCCTTTTTAGAATCTATGGTAAATAATATCTGAACTGTTACTAAAATATAAAGATTGCAATAAAAAGCAATATAAAATAGTAACTAACCAGCATAAAATGTATTTTTATCAAAGCCTGCTTTAGACACAAAATCGGTTTCATGAATAATTTCTACTTTCTTGTTTACCTTATTTTCGAAATATTCTTTTAATTCGGTACATCGCGTTGTTTTACCACTGCACGGTATACCGGTTATAATAATAAGTGGCATTGTATAAAAGATATTTAAAAATCAACATAAATATTCTAACCTATCAAATGAAAACCACGGCTATAGACACACTTGATTAAAACTGATTAAAACTTTACAATGGATTCTGGGATTCACAAGACCTGAAAGCGGCGCAGGGGAAAGAGAGGATACTACGCAACATCGACTGACCCAATAGGAACAATAGGAAAATTTTTCAAATACCAGAACATAATTTTCAAAATGAAAATTTGAAACAAACTCTTGTTATATTGCCACTTGAAGAATGTGACATTTATAGAGATATATATGAAGATGATTTTTGTCTCCTTTTTCTAAATGAGAGCTTGAAAGATTGACAAATTTTCTACTTCTATTTTCTACCTCTTTGCGGCAAAATAACGATAATCTATTATAGTGGTTGGTCTAATGATATCTACGATTAATATTAATCTAAAGTGTTATTCGAATTATATTTGCTATGATTCAAACTGATAAGTTTGATAAAACTTATCGCATATTTCAACAAATATGTAATATATATGTGTACATACAACTATACAGCTATATTAATTTCATCGTGTAAGAATTAAAATTGTCAGCAACAGGTTTTAGCTCTGTCTTTTTTCAAACCACGACCACAACTGATTCTCTCTTATTCGAAGTACCGTATGGTGGGTTCATGCGGAGTGAAAGCTATCTACAAGGACAATAACTCCGCATTCGCGTAACTGTTATTTTACAATGAAGACCTATGGCTTCTTATTTCTACTTACATTACTATTTCTCAATATCAATGATATTATAGGTAAGTACGTATTATAATCAAACTACTATAATTTGTTTAACACGACTATTACAGCGTATAATTTAAATTTAAAATATGCCTTATAAATGTACTCTGTAATATTGAAAACAATAGAAAAATACTAAAAAAGAAAATTACTTTTTACAATTTCTAGAATTTAAATTCTATTAAAAAAATATACCTCTGTTTGTATTCATATAATCTACACTTTTTTTACAATTCCTTGTAAAAATATTTGCATCCTCGCATAATGCTTAATGTAGAATAAAAGAAAGTATGGAATGCGTTTGACATTTTCTTTTGTAGACTGCAATGCTAATCTGACATTTTGACGAAACTTAAATTGTATTTTATCTTGGATTGAGTCACATTACAGTCACCTAAAAATTAATTAATTTTCGATTTATTGAATTTCAAACTGGCGCTTAATTATTAATGTAATGTTATACAGTAAGACTGCCATCAAGAATGGATGCTCCGAGTAATTTTGTATCTTACGAATGTTCACCGGATGATTTATGTTGAATACGTTCCGCTAATGAAGAGAGTTTAATTTGAAAAACGTATAAGAAATCAAACTTTCTATAATAATATAATTTACCTTCTTTTTGCAAGCTTCGACAAGGCCAAAACGTAACAAGGCCATAGTCTGTTACGTCGCTTCCTGGGCCACTTACAGGCCAGAAAATGGCAAATTTGGTATCGATAATATCCAGCCGAAACTTTGTACGCATCTCGTATACACGTTCGCTGGACTGAATACCACAACTTGGACCATCAGAAGTCTTGATCCTTACTTGGATATTGGGAATCGTAAATAATTTTATATAATTTTATTTAATATGTTATGTAAGTTGAATATTCGTTAAAAATACTTATATTTGCTAGAATATGATAATTACAAAAAAATGACCAGTCTTCGGAACAAATATCCTGGATTAAATATCCTTCTTGCTGTCGGTGGGTGGAACGAAGGCAGTAAAAATTATTCCGAACTCGCTTCTTCTTCTGAACGAAGAAGCAAATTCATCGACAGCGTGGTCCATTGCCTCAGGTACCAGAATCTAATAAAAAATCAATTTACCTTGATCTCTAATAATTCCTTCTAACGATAGATTGAACTTTGTGCAGGGAATACGGTTTCAACGGATTGGATCTGGACTGGGAATTTCCTGGTAACCGCGGAGGAGTACCAGCAGACAAGCAAAACTTTGTTTCTCTTGTAAAAGTAAACTACATCTGGAATAATGATAAATATTTTAATTAACATCCTGTTACATATTTAAAAAAATGTTAAATAGGAACTGAAAGAAGCGTTTCAAGGATCAAACTACTTGTTAACGGCGGCTATAAGTGCCAATAAGAATATCATCGACGTAGGATACGATCTTCCTGAACTTTCAAAGTATCTGGATCATATTCACGTAATGGCTTACGATTATCATGGAACGTGGGACAATAAAGTGCTTCCAAACGCACCGATGAGAGGCAACGATGGCATCGGCGTGGTAATACGTCTGAAAAAGAATCAAAATGAATATTGTGCAAGCAACAAAATTAAAGTTTGATTTTTTAGGAAGACACGCTGAAATACTTGTTAAAAGAAGGTGCACCTTCGAATAAATTGGTGCTTGGTTTGCCTATGTATGGGAGGACTTTTATATTGACCAGCAAACTAAATTCTTCTGAGGAAAATCCTATCGGTCATCAGAGTATATCGGAAGGATTTATGGGTCCTTATACCAGACAAAATGGCTTCATGGGGTACAACGAAGTACGGTTGATTTTTCAAAGATATATATTTCTTCGAATCGCGAAATTATTCAACAATTTTTTATTCTTCTTTTTGATGCTTCGAATTCAATCCAAATCGGATCTTCCAATTTTCCTTTACCAACAGTAGGTTCCTAAAAATGAACGACATGTGAATTATATTATGTCGATAGATTTGCAAAGAACTGATCATTTCTAATAAGTGGAGGACTGGATGGGATAATAACAGCGATACACCTTACGCAATCAAAGACGATCACGTGATTGTGTACGATAATCCAAGGAGTTTGAAAACGAAGGTCATATTCAATGGATAAAGATAAAAATACGTATTAACTCCACTTAAATCCGATTACATTTTTATCGCTTTCAGGTTGAATATGCGGAAAAGATGAATCTATCCGGCGTGATGATTTGGAGCATCGATACCGACGACTTCAACGGCGAATGCGAATCATTGAAAGATTCATTGGATAAAGAAACAGCCAATTTTCCTTTACTGAGGTCGATCAATATAGCTCTTAATTCGGCATCAAAAAGACGTTCCTACAGTTTTATATTAATATTAGTAATGTTTCTTATGTATCGCATTTAAAGAGGATTTATGACAAATAAAAATGATCGATACCAAAAAATTCGATGTATGCTAATTCGAAATGAATAAATATAATCTACATACATATATTTTCCATTCTTTTGCTCACTCTGGTTTCTATTTTATCTTGTGTCTTATATATGGTCTATCTGATTGTAAGATTCCATATAAATATATATATCTTTTGCAACAAAGAGCGTCGAGGCTGAACTTCGAATTCCACGTCGGTAAAACAGTCAACGTTTCATCGAAAATTAGGCCGAACAGAAACTGATTTAAGCGCCACCTCAATTATATTTCGCATACACCTAAATGACATGTGTATGCTACGATAGCTATATGTATAAGTACATAATTAAACAATACTGACCATGCATTCATTATTATTAATTTTCTTTCTAAATTCCATATTTTGTGATTTTCTTTTTATTTTATTTTTAACCGATTTCGAAAAGAAGGAGGTAATTAGTCATTTGTAATTAGTCAAAAATCATACAAGTTCCTTTTTCAGGAATTATAAAATTACTATAGTTATACGTTCTATATGGTAATATTGCAATCCCGAAAATACTTTTCTGAATTTAAACTATTATTTCCCAATTAAAAAATATATAAATCTTTTAATAGTAGCACTTAGCTTGATATCGCTTTCTAAAAGTTATCTTTAGAAAACGATATCAATTACCAGGTCACACCACGTGGAGGTGGCTACGTTAGTGACCCACCCTAAAATCATAAGAACGTGAAACCATTCAAAACAGACAACATAAAATAAAAATTGAAGCAATACAATCTTGAAATAGAAAATAAAATTAACATCCTAATATCAAAAAACAATTGAGAAAATAATAATAATTTAACAATAAAATGCTGTAAAGGAAAACATAATTATTAGGATTAGATATACAATAACGTGAAACCATTCAAAACAGACGACATAAAATAAAAATTTAAACAATACAATCCTGAAATAGAAAATAAAATTAACATCCTAATATCAGAAACAATTGAGAAAATAACAATTCAACAATAAAATGCTGAAATAGAAAATATAATTAACATCATAATTTCTGTAACAATTAACGAAATAACAATTCATCAATAAAATGCTGAAATAGAAAATATAATTAACATCATAATTTCAGTAACAATTAAAAAATAATTCAACAATAAAATGCTGAAATAGAAAATATAATTAACATCATAATTTCAGTAACAATTAAAAAATAATTCAACAATAAAATGCTGAAATAGAAAATATAATTAACATCATAATTTCGATTACAGTTGAAATGAAAAATGCCGACAACAGAAAATATACTCTGAAATTGTAATGGTAATTATGTTTTAAATAAATAGAACATAATTAAAATAAGAACATGAAATATAATTGATGTGCAAATCAATAAGAAAAGAATAATTTATTTCAATAAAGCAATAAACGAAAAAGAAATAGGGGAAATAAAATCGCGAGTTGACCATTCAACGAGCTGGGTATTGAACTCGTAAAATACGTCCTGGACGGTATTATTCATACCGTTCAAGGAAAAACATAAAAAATGAAAAAACAAATTAGCGAGCATAGTGACAAATGACTGTCCATCCGAAGATGGAGAGCCATTAGTAGTTCCCCTCTTCTGGGCAAATTTTGCCGGGGCTCTTCAGCATATAGCCTCTTCTTTCTTCGGCAATAGCCTCACAAAAATCACTCGCGAAAATTTTACGTTTGCTCAGACATTTGTAAAAACGTAACACGTAAACGAGCAACGATCCCTTGAATCGCTACTCGCATACCTGCACAATTTTTGCAAATGTCCAAGCACAAAACACTTTTTAATTTCACTTCACTTCACTTCACTGCACTTTCACTTTAATACTTCATTTTTGTAATCGGGTCTAGTACCACGACTACGACTTAAAAACTAATAAGGCTTGGCCTTGAAAAAATCAAGAGAGAATGCTAAATTAATTAATTAATCAACTAATTAATTTGCATTTTCATCTTACCTCTTGATTTTTTAATTTCCAACCCCAGATACAAGCTTCTCACGTATTAGAGGAGAATACGAAGAGAAACATGAAAGCTTGCTCTGGCCCTGCCTACTTATAAACTAAACTCAATCACACCAGAAGTAAACTACCTGCCTGCCTATCGCTATATTTAAAAAAGGGCAAAAATCATTCTCACAAAAATTCACTCCACGGTTCTCATACAACCACCCGGGTGCAAAAATGCCTACACCTAGGGAGAACGTCCCGGGACGCCTCCGACACCCGAGTTCAATTCAACTTTCACACTCTAATAAAATCATACCTTTTTGCTGAAATCGACTGACAAATAATAGTGAACATTATGCTAAAGTAATACATTTCATTTTCGTATTCTATTGAATTATCTAATGTAAAAATTTTTCAATTTATTCTTGATAAGTATTTTGTAATGTTACAGTAAGTTAAGATTGTTAATAAACGATACAAATCCCACATCCTAACCACACACACACATGTGGAACTTATATCGTGGTTCACTATTGGTTCACTACTTTTGTCAGTCGCCAAAATGTATTACACTTAAAACTAAACCTTGTCCACCGCCCTCCACCCACGCGAGTACATCTAAGTACCCGAATGAGCTTTGGGCATAAAAATGAACAAGGCCAAAGGTATTTTCACCTACCAGTTTTCTTCATGTGTGCTGAAATGCCTAAGCTAAAACGTATGATTAGCAAAAACTAAAGATGATATTCTCACTTTATTAATAGTAAGAATATCGGCGAAATTTCACGGCTCCGATTTAGTATATGGGCTGGCCCCCCAGGGGGTTTTATTTTTAATAAAAGTGACTCGACTTTGCAAATATAAAACTTGAAGAGCAAATACAGAAAAGCAAAATTGAGCAACTATGACACAAACATGGTGCACTGCTAATATCAGCTGGCAACGAAGGGTCTCACGCCCCCTAGACTTACGCCAGACGCTACATACCACCCACCCCGCCTGGACGTCGTAACGCCAGGACAGGATGCACCCCTTCGCTAAGAGCGCTACCCGCCCGTCCAACACGTTGCATCCAACGGTGTCAGATTGACGGACGCCCATAGTATAGACAAAAGGACTACAGTTTAGAATATGGTAACATACTTTCATATGTTCCGTATTCTAAAGCTGCGCCTGCAAAGGCCTAGTAATGCATGGGTTTATCTCCCATGAGATGGTGTTCACGGTCTTATGCCGCGGAATCCTTGTAACTAATTTGATTAAATAAATAAAATACTGGATTTAGTTTAAAAACCAAAAGGATTCCCACCAAATACTAGTCAGTGCATTGTCATATTTACTCTCGCGTTGGAAATTTTTCGCAACACTAATTAAAATAGAAAATCCTGATCTAAAAACATGACTAGTACATAAACATCTAACGGGCTAATATTTCACTATACTGATGAATGATGAGTGTGAATGATGAGTGTTTAGGGTCGAGAACCGTGAACGTGACAGAATGAATTTCAAGTTCCAAAGGGGAACTTTATACAATGCTTGAAGAGCAAATACCAACCCCCCTGGGGGCCAGCCCATATACTAAACTTATGCCAATTTCACGAGTAAAATCGGAAAAACGTTTCAATTTCAAGAGCGATTTCTTTATCAAAGTAAGTAGTTATAATAATTAATAGTATTCATGCTTATTACTTTGATATTGAAATCCGCTCATCGCGAAATAAATTCTTGTACATATAAAAAAGAAATTGTATTGTGAAGTCGGAGGGTCATCCGACTTCTCTACATTTTTAAACTCGAAATCTATATATGTAAATATGTACAAGAAAACCCTATCCTGAGCTAAGGCATAAAATACACAAAAAACCAATTTGCACGATTATCATTGTATAAAATGATACAGTGATATTCGTGGGTCACTATGCTCGCTCAAAAAATAAAAATTACAACCAATTCCCGTGTCGCTACGGACCATTCGTCCTACGACATGATGGGAACCGGAGGAACTTTAAAGCATGCGACTCACCGATCGTTGACTTGCACCACTGAATTCGCCCCGCATCTTATTGTTAGATTAACCCATAGCTCGTCTATTGGCTCGTCAAAGTAACGGTACCTCCACTGTCCAAAGCACTCATCTGAAAGCATAAAAGTCACGATTCTTGAACGATATATGTTTTCTCTCAATTTGTTGTAGTTAATATGCTAATACATAGGATAATTGAAAAATATGCATGCAAAACTATATGGGAATAACTACACCACAAAACACGGTAAAACACATGCAAATACATCCCAAAACACTCGAAGATCAAAACTATAGAACACTATAAAATATTTGCAAAATTATAGTAAAACACATAGGGTACCACTCCATAAAACCCACTAATAAATCCGTAAATATATGCCAAAGCACAAAGGAAACCACACCATAAAACACAATAAGCACATGCAGGTACATGGGGTACCACACCACATAGCACACTAATGCACTTGTATAAAAATGTCAGAACACATGGGTGACCACACCATAAGTTGCACTAATATATCCGTATAAATATTACAAAACATGGGAAACACTATAGGAAACACCATAGGCACACACAGTAACACTTGTGGTAACACACTGATAAATCCATGCACGAATATCCATAGTGTCAACCCGTACCGGTATATGTGTGACAAGTCGATCCGTATCCTTCGGCGGTCGCGATAAGACTGACTAGATTTGACCTTCCTCCAGGTCGCGCTTGTACCGGCGCGCGGCGCGCGCAATCAAGCATGACGTTCCGCTTCACCGGTTCCGCAGATTTAACTATTTCTATCTGATATTTGTTAATGTTTGTTTAATTATTATTTTTAATTTTACAATTGTTTATTAATCAAACGAACGAACTGCACCCTACAGAACGAACGAGAAACTAAATTTCTGGTTTGTTTTACCTTGTTGACGTCTTTCGCGTGTGAACAATCAACGAAATCGTAGTTTTCAAATTGGACATACGATTAACAGAAATGTTTATATTACGAATAAATCAATGCAGGTGAGTCCGATCTGCCATTTTCTTGACCGTTGACAGACAGTAAGGACCAGACAAATATTCTTTAGAACCTTCTGAACACGTCCCTCAAATTTTTTTACATTCTGTTTAGAAATGAGGACGTAATTTGAAAACTCGCGTCTAAGGATTTCTCTAGGGACTGTCGGTAAAGTTTTTAACGCTCGCATTCATAAATTTTACTTTCGAGTATCGATAAGTATCGACTTCAAATGAATCATAAATAAGAACTGATACGCATGCAAACCTGATATTATTCTAGAGACATTTTGTGAAGTACAAACCTGTTAAGTTCTCGAATTTCACTTGAATGATATTTCAAACTGTTTAGAAGTTGTAGAAATCATGGCGTTCAGTAAAGTTGATTGGAATACTCCTGTACCGTTTTGGCAAAATGGACCAGCGCCTGGTGCATTTTATAACTTTCCTGGAACTTCTACTCAATCCAATAGTGGAGGATTCCAAAGATCACAGTAAAATATTTTAAGATACTCCTTGTTTTTTTTTAAATTAACCTCTTTCTGAAAATTGCATGTCATGTTCATTTGGAAGTAAACTTGTAAACATGTATTTTCATATAGTAATGATCAATACTTGTTTTATAGGGCGCCGATGACGACTGGTACATCCGTAGTCGGAATTCAGTTTAAAGACGGTGTTCTTATAGCAGCAGACATTCTTGGATCATATGGATCATTAGCTCGATTTAGAAATCTGGAACGTGTAATGAAAGTAAATGATAATATTATTCTTGCTGCTGGAGGAGATTATGCTGATTACCAGTGCCTTAAAAGTAACATAGAAAAGAAAATGTATGTTTCAATTGTTGTTTGATGATAATTTTATACTTTTCAATTGATATTATACCTTATATGTTATTTAGTCTTGAAGAAGAATGTTTGGATGATGGATTATCTTTAAAACCAAAAGCTCTACATTGCTGGTTAACTCGAGTAATGTACAATAGGAGGTCACATTTTGATCCATTTTGGAATAATTTTATTATTGGTGGTATAGAAGGAGATAAATTGTGAGTATTTTGTTTCCTTTGTAATTATATGTAGTTCACTATATACACATAGTCCTTACTTGAATATTTTATATAGATTTTTAGGTACTGTGGATAAACTTGGTACAGCTTACAGTGATCCAGTAATTGCAACTGGGTATGGTGCATATATGGCAACACCTATTCTCAGAAAAGCTCATGAAGAAAATAAAGATATGAGTAAAGAAGAGGCAGTTGAGCTTTTATATAAAGTGATGCAGGTTCTTTATTATAGAGATGCACGATCTTTTCCAAAAGTAAGTTCATATTAAAACTTTAAAAGATTCATATGTTGAAATGTAAACAAATTTAATTTATTTGATTTTAGTATCAAGTTGGTATAATTACAAAAGATGGTGGTGTTGAAATACAAGGACCACTAACTCTAGATAGTTACTGGGAACCTGCTATCATGTAAAAATAAATATAAGTATAATTTTTTTTCTTAATAAAATGATTTACAACATAAGCTGAAAGATTATTGTTATTTAATCTTTTATAATTTATTGAGAGAAAGTAAGTTGTATACGACAGAGAAAATCACGTGGAACGGGAAATTACACAAGATTAAAAAGTTAATACCTCGCAACCAGTATCTGTAATTAAAACGGTATGTTCACATTGAGCAGTTCGTGAATTATCCGCTGTAACAGCCGTCCAACCGTCTTCTAAAATTTCAACTTCTTTGCTGCCCCGACTTAAAACTGGTTCTATAGTAAATGTCATTCCAGGTAACATCTTTCCAGCAAAATTATTTGCTAGTAATGTTAAAAAGTAATTAAATATTATATACCCTCGTGTTTATAATAATATATCGACCTACCAAAATGAAAAATATCTGGTGGTCCATGAAAGTAAGTACCTATACCATGTCCAGCAAATGCTGGAATTACCGAATATCCATATTTATCTGCTGTTGCTTCAATAATACATCCTACAAATTGATTACAAATGTATGACCAGCTGTCTCTGTACTTATATCATTTTAATAATTACCTATGGTAGAAAAATTCTCATTCGGTTTACAAATATCAATGGCTTTTTTTAAACACAATTCTGTTACACTTATTAGATGTTTAGCTTCTTCATCACAGTCTTCTATTTCAAACATTTTTGAACAATCTCCATGATATCCGTTTAAATATACCTAAGCAAAGGCAATATACCTTTCTTTAAACTTTATAAACACAGTTTTATTACATTATAATGCTTACTTATATATCTCTACATACTGTTATGTCAACATTAAGTATATCTCCCTTTTGTAATGGTCGTTTATCTGGAATACCATGACATGCAACATTATTAACACTAGTACATATTGATTTTGGAAATCCTCGATAATTAAGTGGACTAGGATAAGCTCCGTTACTTATAATCATTTCATGAACTATTGCATCCAGTTTATCTGTAGTTGTACCAGCCTAAAATCAAATCTGTTAATTCAATGAAGTTGTTAATTAAATTCTGTATTTAATAATTATCATGTACCTTTATATAGTTCTTGGCATAGAATAACACCTGTTTAGCAAAACTACAACTATGTCTCATGCTCTGTATTTGATTTTTGTCTTTAATTTCTGGGCTCTTTGGTCCTTCTTGAGGTATAGATGATTGGCTATAAGAAGGCTTAGGAATATATGATGGTACCTTTTTAATTTCAGTTACTTCCCATGGTTCAATAACCTCGTAATTTCCAAAAGAATTATTTATAAGCTTACGTGCTGTTGTCTAAGAAATGTAACATACTAATTAAATAAACTACAACAATTAAAAGAATGTTTATATAAAAATAAACGTACTTGCGGTTTTCCTTTGAAAAAGTTTCTAAAAAACATTCCGGTAATTTTAAATTAACCCTCACTATAACAGGTACTAAATATATGTATTTAATATATATTTATACGTACTGGACTTATTATTTCATTACAGATAATTTTATTCCTTTTTGTAAAATGATTTTCAAATCAATAATTTGCAAAAGTTCCAAAAGCTAACATAATAATAGCTGATTATTATGTAAATACAATATGTATAACAAATCAGCTGATGTATATAAATATATATTGCTTAAAAGATAACCTTGAAAGAAGTCATCTGTCAGACATGAATGCTATGAAGTCATTCCGAGAAATATTGGCAAATGCAAAAAACGTATTAATATTAACTGGTAGCGGAGTTTCTGCGGAATCTGGTATTCCTACATTCCGGGGTGCGGGTGGATTTTGGAGAAAATATCAAGCTCAAAATCTGGCAACCCCAGAAGCCTTTGACGCGAATCCTTCTTTAGTTTGGGAGTTTTATGAATATCGTAGGACGGTAGCTAATGAAGCCAAACCCAACAAGGTACACAGGTAATCATTTCTTTTGATATTCGGTCACAGTATTTACAAACTGCAGTTTTTAGGCTCACGAAGCAATAGCAACTTTTCAAGACCGTAGTTTAAAAGCTGGTAAAAATGTTACTATTGTAACACAAAACATTGATGAACTTCATCAAAGAGCTGGAGCGAAAAACGTAATAGAGCTTCATGGTTCACTTTTTAAAACCCGTTGTACAGTTTGCCACGAGGTTTCTGCAAATAAAAATATCCCAATATGTCCTGCATTAGAAGGAAAGGGGTAAAGTGTAATTTTGTAAAATGTAGATAAATCAACTCACATTGATCTACAATTCTTATAAACATATGCAGATCTCCAGATCCAAAGATTATGGTATCTGATATTCCAAAAAAAGATTTACCAAGATGTCAGAAAACAAATTGTAAAGGTTTGTTAAGACCACATATTGTATGGTTCGGTGAAAATTTAAATGAAGATGTACTTAAACAGGCCTGTAAGTACTTCTGTACATAAATAGATGTACATTATAAAATAAATCTTTTAATAATATATTGTATCACAATATGGAATTATAACAATTTAGTTTAAAATTTTTGGTTCATATAAAAAATATATATATATATACACATACGTATAATGGTTTAATAAAATAAAAATATGTTTGGTTTTGCCTTATAATACTAGTTAATGCTGTTGAGAATTGTGACGTTTGCCTAGTTATCGGTACATCATCTATTGTGTATCCTGCAGCAATGTTTGCACCCCAAGCAGCGAATCGAGGCATTCCCGTTGCTGAATTTAATTTAGAAATGACTCCTGCTTCCAGACATTTCGAGTAAGTTAACTTTCGAGATATTTCATAGATAAAATAGTAATATAGTCCATATAAAAAAAAAAAATAAAATTTGATCACTTTTAAAAGGTCTTACAAATGGCACGTTCATATAATATTTAAAACATTTTGTTTTATAATATATACGAACTTGCATGCAAAGTACTTATTCATATTCATCAAACTGTTTTATCTTTTCTTGTTTAGCTGAAACAAAATAATAATTATATGTATATTGTTTTAAAGGTATCACTTTCAAGGTCCTTGTACTGTTACGGTAACAGAAGCTTTGGAACCTTCAGTTCATGAGCCTATGTAAATTTATAAAACTAAATAATATTTACCTTCTACTACACATAGTTCAGTATTGAGTCCAAGTTGATTTAAATATTCCAACCATAATCGTTGCTTTGTTGAAAGGCTATCTCGTGGACCTTTTACTTCTACAATTTTATGCTACAGAGAATAATACACAGTTAATAATTAATAAAACATATTTTATAAAACTTGATGAATTTTGTGTAATTACTTACTTCTTTGGTTTTAAAATTCCATACAATTAAATCTGGAAATCCAGCTTTCCAAAGTTTAAAATTTTCAACAAGTCGTCTACAGATGCCTACAACACCTTGAACTCCTAAACAATATACTATTTCCTACACATCAAAGTTTATTGTTATCATGATATTAAAGAATAATATAGTACCAATAAAGTACATACTTTCAACTGTAGACTATCTTTCAGTAAATTTGTTGGCATTATTGACTGATATTGAACACAGACTTTAAACTTATCTTCCATGAAGGTGCTTAATGCTAAACAATTTAAATTACTAGCAATCTGAAGTTTCATGTCTATTCTTTCTTTCCTATTTTCGTAAAATAATTCTTCTGTAAATAAATCATCTGGAGCGTATTGATATGGCGAAACAAATGTTCCAGGAACATGTATATCAAATAGTTCTTCCCAAAATAAAGTAAAAAATAAGGTAATTGGTAATGCACCTTCACAGTGCAATCCATTAGAAAATCCTTTCTCACAGTAATGATTCAATGCAAGTGTTTCTACTGATCCAAAACTTTGACCTTTAGCATTACTTTTTATACACCAAATGGTCTTCTTTCTTGCACCACTTCTGCAATGATTCAGTATTTGGTTTAAGAAAAAGATAACATGTATTTCGTAAAACTTACTCAGGCATCAATACAGCACTTATAATATTAGATGCAGCATCATATTTCGGCATCTGATGAATATGTTCATCTAAAGTTTTATTCATATTAAGTTTTGTTATGGGTTTCAGTCCAGTTTTCTTCTTTAGAATTCTTTGTGCTCTTTCTATAAGATCTACTTTATCTACTCGCGTTAAGTGTTCTGTGCTTAAGGCTTTCATTATTACCGATGCACTAGCTTCTAGATTTTTATGGTGATACATTTCAATGAGAGCTAATTCAGCATACCATTTTCCTTTCTTCGTATGGATATAATAATCGTGTTCTAGTAAGAAATGTAAAACTTCCACTACTTGTGTCTTATCTTTATCTTTTTTAAATGCGTCTATACACACAGAAAGTATTTTCAGCCATACATATACCGGCATATAGCGTCTTACATGCAGTGGAAGCAAGGAAATTTTTAACCTGAAAATTTCATAATCAATAAAAATTTTTTACTTAATAATATAATAAATTTTGAATTACCTAAATGATTCCTTTAACGTGTTTGATAATGTATTTATGGCTAATTTACCACAGTCTTGTACCTCTGTCCACTTCTTTTTGTCAATTAGTTGTAATGTTATAGACAGTGTTGCTTTAGCTGTGATATAGCTACAAATATAAATAAATTAAATGATCAAAAAATATTTCTTCTTCGGATCCAAGGTTAATCTAGAGTATAACAACTTTACCTCATCAAATGCAAGTTGGAAGAAAATATTGGGAAACGTTTCTCAGGAATGTTAGGAAATGTTACATTTCCTACATAAATATTACATAATGTAAAAAATGTTTCAGCTACGCTTATTTGTGGATCTTGATTCGGTATTAACAACGTTAATATTTTATCAATAATATTCCATGTTTTATCAGTAATGCATACACAATAATCGAGCATACGAACAACTGAAGAATATAAAACTGTACTTGGACTTTTCATTCCAGGAAATAGAGATTGCGTGTTCGATAATTTTAACAATTTACATATGTTATTTTTTTTGTTTACGTTAGGCTTAATATTCATATCCTGGCAAAGCTGACGAATTTCATCCACTTGTAGCAGCTCAAGTATTGTAGCTAAATTTGTATTTTCAATGTTAAATGTACAGATAGATCGTGAAACAAGAGTTGTAAACACGTCTTTCAAATCTGGAGCTATATCTGGATATTTAATATTATTTCCTCTGAACCATGTCCTTTTTCTTTTTATCATATGTGCCAGCAATGTTTGAGCCTGACTAGGCAGAGTAATTATGGAATATACGAAGTCCAGTTCATTTTCATCAAAATATCCACAATTTATGGGATTAGAGAAGACAGTGAAAATAGTAATGAACAAAGTTTTAGCATGTAAATCTGTAGGTGAAATTATTTCACTTGATTCGTACTTCACTGAAGTTTTAGTGTTTACATGATTATAATGATAATCAAATTCACCTTTTGAATATATTTCTTCTAGATTAAAACAATTATATGAAATAGCACCTTGCTTTGCTAAATTCATATGTTCAACTGCTTGATTTTTGATAACATCTATGGTATGACCAAACAGAGATTTGCAACTGTTTCTTGGAGATTTACCAGATGGCACTTTTGGAGAATAATTTAATTTTTTAGGGCTACTTCCAGTTTTAGGACTATTAGAACCTCTTACTGAATGATTGTTTTTAGGGGTGCTTGGTTCCTTCTTTAATGATTTGGCAGGGCTTAAAGAGCTATCTGTTTTGTTCTTCTTTGTTGGTGTTTTCATCAACTCTGTATTCTCATTATTTGATAATATTTTACTAATGGATAAGGAACTTTCCAATTCGTTATTATTTGACAGTTTTTCTTCAACTGCATCTATTGAGAATGCACATTCATTGTTTTGTGTCTTGTGCTTAATTGGAGAAGCTTTTAAATTACTTAAATATGAATTATTAATGTTTTCATGTATAATTGTGCAATCTGCCATTGAGTTAGATTCCACATTTTTTGTTAAACTCAATCTTTTCTTTTTCTGAAAACATAAGAATAGTTTAATTGCATGTAGTATAAGGTAAATAACTGAAACAAAATTTGATAAAATGATTAAAAGCTATGAAACATTAACTTACACTTCTTGAATATGGTGTACTTCTAAAACGTTGTTTATCTTTCACTGTAATGCCTGATGTTCGTTTATTACTTACTACTTTAAAAAACTCATCAATATGTCTTTGCTGTGACATTATTCTTATCTCAATAAATCAATTTCATTGCATAACAACATACATGCTGCTTTTACTTCATTAAAGGTATTTAAATGTATCACAACTTCAAAAATGTAAAATTTTAAACAATAAAATAGATTAACCTCTTTGACCAAACAACCATGTGTGTATAATATGTATTTATATATGTTCTTAGCGTAATTTATAAATACAATGCATTTGTTTTTATTCGTATATGTAGTAAAAAATAACATGCGATTATATTTTATTTAATTCGGTTTGAATAGCGTTACTCACTTGAAATTAAACTTCACATTTGTAGCAAGTTCAAACAAGTTCAAAACAAATGCCGGTCAAATGCATTGCACTTAAAACATGGTTTCATATATATGTATACACAATTTTATCAAATATATAGGTATTTATATTAATAAAAATACGAAATGTACTGTGAAATAACGCTCAAGTACTTCTATAAAATACATGCTTCCATTATATAGATTAGCAGTGACTAATTACTGAGATTATATAGGTGGTTACAGTAACCAACAGTGACATCAAGGAAATTAACCTGAAATATGAAATTAAATATTGAAATATGAATATAAAAATAGCAAACTTAAATGATTTAAAAAATACAAAGATATATATTTCTGTTTTGGAAGTAAAAAGAGTACCCTTTTCAAAACTATAAAAAGATTGCACTTATATACAAACGTATTGCATTTATGAGAAATAAACATAAATAAGTATTTAAGTATATGAAACGAAATATTAAATATAGTTATAACTATATATACGTATGCTTTCAAGTTTAACAACAAGTTCAAATAATCAAAATATACAAAACGAAAAATATAATTCATTTGAATATTTTGTTAAAATTGTTTAAATAAGAAATATGTATGAAATGTTATAATTATATATACGTTTTTTTTATTTTATTAGGAAGGATAAAAATGTATTTTTACGCGATGCAATCAAAATTTATTTCCAGCAGAAATATCTGCTTTTAAGTTGTTCATCCAAATTATGTTCATTGTGAATATTTTTCCCTTAATGTTATATGTCAAATGCAATCACATGTCATTATGTTAAAATAGATCATTTTTATGAAAGAAAAAATTCATATATCTTGATTAAAATAAATACTTTGCTGCTAGATAGCATACAAAGTATATAATATAGTACAAATAGAATAGACAAATAAAGTAAAAGATAAGATTTGACCTGTTAACATAAATTACATAAAAAATGCATATTATTTGTGTTTTGTACAGTTGACAAATAATTTCTTTCCATACGTTAGTATCGTATGTATACAATAATCAGATTTTTTATAATTCTGCCAATTTGTTGAAATGACATAATTAGAATACATTTAATATTCAAATTGTAACCCATAGATTGACATATATACATTCAATTAGTTACATTATCTAATAGATTCAAATGTTAATCACATTGATTATAGATATTAATGCTAAACAATAGTTGAGTTTAGATCTTTATATGTAATTTATAGAAAACAACTCATCTACCTGATAACATCTCTACTTCTCTAATTACATAGCAAGGCAAACAAACGTAAACAAGCATCTTTAATTACGTTAAAAGTATTGTTTTACTAATGATAGAATTTCAAGTTTATCGTTGTGAATCGTATAACAGGAACGTACCAAGAAATTATAAGCAAAAGTCGAAAAAGCAAAAAAATTTAGGAATGTAATTTATTTGTCAAACTTTGACGGTTTATAAACAATAAATATAATTCACGCTTCGATTTGTATCTGGTAATATTTTATTTAGACCAAATTAAATTTGATACATGCATTTAGCGAAAGGTGTTATCAGGGGACGAGAGAGTAGATGATGTATATATCGAAGAACAAATTAAAGGGTGTCTAGATCAAAGATTCTACATACATAGAATTTGATATATGCCCCTTAGGTTCTCCGATTGTACAATCTTGAGAAAAATTCTCTATACATACTCTCGTCAAACTTTCGTTCGAATCAGAGCTTTGGTTGGAGCGATTTTTTCCAATTAATCTTCCTGTCGCACAGCGACATAGAAGTCCTACTGTATTCACAGAATAAAATACACGTATAATAGATACACCGCATTTCGACACCTGTCGATATTATCGTAAAAGTTTTTAACACTCAGAACTTTTTAAGAGCTTCACGTTAAACATCATATCTGTAAGCTCATTCTTTTTCTCAATAATTTTTTTCTTTTACACGAAACGATTAATAGGTCTTGTTCGATCGCTCTAAATAGTTGCATTGATTCGGCTTACTTCTACTTACATGATACAGTATTGTTTTCCACGAATGCAACGAATTAGGTAAACACGAAGTCCTCACGATTCAAATTTGACCGAATTTCTTTCTTTTCTTTTTTTCTTATAATCTCATCAGCTAACTACATAAATTACTAAAACTCTCTTTAAATAATCAAACATTTTGCGAATATTGCTAAGTAATACTCTAACTACCGTTAGTTTACTCACAGTAAATAAATCAATGACAAAATATACGATATCGGCCTTTCTGTCAGTGGAATTTCGTGTTTGCCAAATCAGAAAATGTAAAGCGAACTCAGTCTTTGGTTGGAGCGATCAAACTTTGAAGATTTTCGACGTTTTATTTGTAAAGTGGCTATTGGGTCAATATTTTTAACATTAATAAATTTTTATATAAAAATCCATGTACCACTATATTTCGTTTAAAGCGTTCCAACTAAAATAAACAAATGGTTTTTACAAGTACATTCTTGGAAATTATTTCCGCATATCGCTCGTTCTTCTCAAAATCATATGTATGGCGGAAGATCTTTTTTCTTTTTTTTTTTCTTTTTTCTTGTAATGCAGTTGAATTGTATGAAGAAAATCAAAAAAATGAATACAAAAGAAAAAACAAGAATGAAAAGCAAATATCCCAAAGCGTAATCCCAAGTGCGTGAATACATTTTTTTTTGTTTTATTTTTAATGAGAAAACATTTCACGCACAACGGTGAATTTGAGAAAAACGAGAGAAATAATCAGATATCTAAAATATGTACAAATGTGGCAGAAATTAGATTTCACAAAATGTTATATAATATACAGGCGAGTGAAGTTCTTAACAAAATAATAAGTCCTATCCAGGATAAAATTTCTTTATTACTCCTCCTCTAAAATCGTCCCGAATTCATAAATTTTCATACACATCGCTGTGCGCCTACCACAACAACATTAATTACAGTTATTTTTTAGTTAATTACCTAAAAGTAAGAGATACAATAAGCGTAATTATTTTTATATGTACAATATATCTTTTTTGTTTGTTTGTTTCTTTCTTTCTTATTATGATTTCATGAAGTCTTCCTAGAATTTGCAATATTTGCACCATTAATTTTATTTCTTTCTTGATTTCGCGTTACGGCTCGCGAAAAAAGCTTTCTTATTGCATGCTCGAAAGAAATTTCTGTGCTTCAAGTCCCGAAAATCAATGACTATCCGAAACACTTTGCCATTACCATTTATAATACAATTTAAATTATAAATCTTCGATCCAAATGCCTAGGATATTTATCTCGATCAGTGCCTACGAATTTTAACTGAATAACAGATAACTGAAACCTGTTCTAAAGAATTATAAAAAATTATGTGACAGATACTCTTAAATTTCGTCAGTTTAAAACTCATACATCTGAGAGTCTATTTCGAATAACTATTCTTCATTTATTTTTATACATGCACAGCTTCTATTAGCCACACAGAAATATGAAATACGTGATTGCATTAAAGAAAAATTTACTTTTTCCATTTTACTGATTTTCAAATTACAATATTGTCCATTTTTTTTTTTTGCCAACTTACTTTTTTGTTCAATTCTTATGTTATATTACTATGTTCTTAATATTGATATGGAATGGGAGACAATAATATAGAAAGACTAAGAGGAAGAGAATAACGCACGTAAAAAATGTGCGCAGATTCCGTTAATATTTCAGTGTTGGTCTTTTTTAAAAGTAATCGAAATTTATCAGTAAGATTGTGTAATAAAACATATGAACTACATATATGCGAGAAAGTGTGCAAAAATACCTTTGATCGCGGTTTTTCTATAGCTGTACCAATCGATTTCACAAACGATTTGACTACAATAAATCATAAAAGTACAACCGAACAAATAACTTTTCTTTTAGTGGTAGCATCATTTTTTAATGTAATATTTATCTGTTCTAAGCAGGGATTTAAGTTGTTTATTTAAAGCTTAAACATAGATTTAGCTTTTGTTCTAACTTGTATATGCTGTGTCGATTGATCATAAGGAATTCGTGTTCGTTACTGTAACCCTGCTACAAAGTATTAAAATAATGAGATACTTTTATGGTACATCCATTTGTTGTACAAAAGGAAAAGACTGACTGTTTCATATTTTGTATGGCAAATGAATTAATCAACCGTTATTATTTCCATGGTTTGTATCCATTAAAGTGAAAGGCTTAAAAATTTGAATACGTTTCTTGCAAATATCATAAATCCTAACATAATGTCATGAATTTGTCAGTTTATAATATAAATTTTTATAATGCAAGCTTCCTAAACACAACATCAGAATCTAAATTTAAATGCTACAGTTCCATGTACTCGTATAAGGGCTGATTCATTATGCACTACTAAAATAAAAATGCATAGTTCAGTGATCAATGAAATTATTAAAAGATTCTTTATTATTTGTATAATTTTAATGCTAATTCAAAGAAAATTATCATTAATGATAGTTTGATTATTTCACAGCCTGAAAGCCTTTAACATATTATTACTTTGTAATAAGAAGTAAATTAAACATTTTATTACAATTAAACTGAATTTATATACATTATGAAATAATCAAAATATTCTACTCTGAGGTCACTGAAATAGGCAACACAATATAATTATTAAAATATTTATAAGACGCTTATGTACATTTTTCATAGAAAGCAATTATACTTAGCATATATCTTTTAAATCAACTTTACAATCGTGAATGTACAGCCAGAAATATTGTGTTTTGATAAACTCCAAATTTTAGAAAAGACTGTAATTCGCAATAAAATAATCAACGCTGTGTTTGAGGAAGCTTGCGTTATGAAGATAATAATTGCACTAGAGATGTTCAAGTATTATTACTTACATATGAGTAAAAAATGACAAAGGAGTTCTGCCGAGTTTTCAGTATATTAGAATCAATGATAATTTTGTCAAGTATAAAAGTTCCCTTGCGCTGAACAAAATTTTATCCTTTTAATTTTTTTTTTTTTTCTTCTTCTTTTTTAGGTAATAGATAATATCCCACGTTATCATTTCAATATTTACTTATTACATCCTTTTAAAGAATTAATTTTTATCAAGAAAAGAGTAATAACGTTAGCCAAAAGCTAGTATCAATTTAATGTACTAAAGAAAGTGAAGTGGTTGTTCAATGAGCAAGGAAACAAACAACTTAGAAAAATAAATTAAAGCACAATCGTCTTGTAATCAAGATAACTTGATACTTGCAATGGAATCGACACTAATCCGTCGTCATCGCCACCACAGGCAACTAATCAGAGCATTTCTGCAATCGAATCTAGCCGTACCGCTTTTTTTTTTTTTTAATATTTTGTATCAACAAGCACGTAGTACTTGTCCAGTCTCCGAAGTCAGACAGACATAGGCAAGGTAAAATTAACGAAGCCCCCAGTGACGTATTGGCGGCAACAGGGGTGCCGATAGCAGGCATCATGTCACTTCCATTGCTAATGAATTTGTTTTGTTTGCTCGAACAAGTTGCTGCTGCTGCGGCTTACCGTCGCATGCTGCATTTTCCACTCCATCCACCTCCATATCCAAATTTTCACTACAATCACAAATACATGACATTTGCTAACAAATACTATTTTTTCTTTTTCTAAAAAGAACCATAAATAAAATTTAAACTTCTGAAAAGATGACAAATACCAATAAATATTTTTGCTAAAAAAATAACATTTATGCAATTATAATTTTACAAACAGGGAATAATATTTACCTCGTATGCGTATTGTTAGTTTCTATAATATTGAAAAAGACACGGCACACTTACCTATTACTATTAAGCGTAATTTCCCCGGACGTTGGGATTTGTTGCGTCTGACTTTGCGTCTGTTGTTGCTGCCTTGCAAGACTCGCCAATTTGCTCTGCGCGATCAAGCCAGGTAGCAGATTGGACGGCGGATGTTTTTGCGGCAGAACTATCGTTGACTGATTATTCACGACATGAGTGCTATTTGAAAGATTATTAGAGTTGTTTATATGTGGCAATGGACCATTTTGATGCCCATTACCGAAGTTCGTTATCGTTCCACTAGCTGTGGTACTCGCACTGAACACTCTGACTCCAGCACTACCACTGCCGCAGTTACCGCCATTCCTATTATTTGTTGGACTAGTCAAGGACTTAGATAGAATGGAGGCGGAACTGCTATTGTTTGGAAATTGTCTGTGTTGTTGCTTAGATTGATTCGACTGTGTCTCGGTAGCAGTACTTGTACATTGCGTAGATACCGTACTTGAAGTAGTCGGTTGATTGGTCGTACACGAGAAAGACGATGGGATTGTAGAACTCGTAGAAGTATTTACAACACTAGAACCACTACCACTGCACTGAGGCCGACTCTGTTGTGTCGCGGGCTGTGCAAAAAGACTGCTAGGTAGAGTAGTCACAACGAAATGTGAACTGCCCAGCTCGTCTGTCCGCGAATCGCTAGAGTTATTGTCTGACAGTCCACTAACGCACGCACTACCGGTGATACTCGCCACAGCAAGGTCGAAGTCCGACAAAGTGTCCACCGAAAAATAATCTGCGATATTGAATTCCGACGTGAAAGGTGGCTCCTCTCCTGACCGTTCAGGTTCTACTTCCACGCAGATAGACGTTGCCTCTGGTGGGAACGGGTACGGAAGCGGTTTCGGTTGAGACGACGTTTGCTCTAAATCCGAGTCCGTATCGCTACTTTCTTCGCTTGGACTATACACTGACACAGGCGGAGTCTTTGGTCGGAAATGTAACCTACGTCACAGAAATATCGGTTAGTAATTAATTCGACTACATTAAACACAGTTTCTACGTATAATTATTCAAAATACCATTCTTTTTTAACTGGAGTTGATGCGGTAGTTATGTCAGAATCCACTGGTTCTCGTTTCGGTTGATGTATCGTGAAGTCTAAAGAAGACCACATTTCATCCATATCGGTCGCACAACGGTCCAATATTACTCTAAAAACACATGACGTCGAACGAAAAGAAAAAAAAAAAAAAAAAAAAGAGTTATTAAGAAATTTCATTTTATACGAGGGATTCGTATTCATACAGCATGTATCATACCTGCCACCCCGACCAACTCGTCGTCGTGCAAAACCAATACACCGTGGTACTGGTTTGCTAATGCTGGTCAGCGCAAACCTATACTTCTTATCGGCCAAGCCCCCTTCGCTTTTATCACACCAAGGCCAATTTCCAAATCCACCTGATACAGGCTGCAAAGAGAAAAGCTCTATATCTACAATCCTGAAAAAAAGAACTTTAAGACTATTTCCATACTTTTACGATAGTTCGTGACGATTTGCATTGACACCCACGATATACTAAGTAAAACTGCTCATGTAAAAGAAAAATGAATATCCTGTCTAATATAGATTTTTATAGCGCTCGGTTCACAAATTTGACAAAAATGTATGTAGGAAAGAAAAATTCGGACGAATTCAACAGCACTCACTGGTAAATAAGTGCTATTTCTATTCCGTCGGAAAGCAAATTGACCCTCATCAGCGGTGTCTTCATCGTCGCGATCCGAGGAGACCGAGGGCTGAGAATGCGAGTGAGATGGAAGTGGACTATCTTCGTCTGAGCTCATTAGCGGGTCCAGCCCGCCTCCAAGAACACCAGGCCGACTTCCCCGACCACCACCGCTACCTGTTCCACCACGTACTCCGCTATCGTCCAAACTTCCCCCTCTACTGTCAGTTTTATGTTTCCGTTTCTTGTATTGTCTTTTTTCTTTCCTGGGTACTACTTCGTCCTGATTCAAAGAAATAGCATTCAATACGTCATTTAAATGGAATTCCTTCTTACATACGCCAACATAATAGGGAAATATTAAAAAGTACTTACTTTACTACAAACTTTATTCGCCCAATTTTGATGAACACCAAATTGATTTGTAAATAGTGGAGCAAAAGCTGGCCTCGGTGTCTTCAACGCTGATACTTCCGCTAATATTTGTCCATTGAAGTCCTGTGCCTGATATCTAGATCGTTTTTAAAATATTACATTGAATTTAAATTCTTCTACATAAAATATCAAAGAGATGAAAGATGCAAGAAAAATTGTTTTCAAACCTTTTTTCATAAACTTCGATTGTAAGATGTAAATGTTCTCGTTTGGTTTTTTCCCTTCTTTTAACCATTTCAAGAAGAGTAACTGCTCTACTAAGATCTCTACGGAGCTTCAGCATTTTTTCGTAACTAGTTTCATCATTTTTACGATTTTTACGTGTTTGCATTTTTTCGGTTCTACGTCTAAATGCTAAATAAGGATTATTGGCAGCCGAACCAAACCGATGCTCTGTTTTTACTGATAATAAAAGGGGGTGTTGCTGTGACAAAAAGTATATTTACATTATGTAACGTAAATTATAATACTATTACACCAAATATGACAAACATTCTCATTATTAGTTTAAACATAAACACTTACTGTTTTAAGACGTTTATTCAACCAGTAATCAAAAACGGCAATAATTAAATCGTCATCCTCCTTTAGAAGAGCTTTAGCTTCATTTAGAGTGACTACAGTTTGCCCTGAACTTTTCTCCAAACGATCCATCATTTCTTCAAATTGAAGAGGAGTTAAGTCCATCTTACGACTTTGTACTGCAACCCATTTTTCATCCTCTGAATCCATATCATAATCTGGAATATCTTGCTCCATTGCAAAAGCTTTGAACAGAAGCAGAAATTATTAAACTTCTTATTCATATGACAATGTTGTACATTATATACAGTTTTTATATTATGTTAACTTACGTTGCATATGTATAAGCTGACGAGGCAGCTTATAATCAGCTGGATAGATCTTATCATAAGCTTCTACATCTGTCAAATCAGTTACTTCTGGGGTAGGAATGATTAGACCTGTGCATATTGCTCTTTGCAAGTGATGTTCCTAAACAAAGAATTATAAATTAATATAAATTTCAATCTTTTTTATATATTTTGTAGCATGCAAACATAGTTATTCATAATAAAACAATACTATGAACATGAAAAATACATACCAAAAGTAAAAGACACATAATAAAATATCAAACATCATCACCATACAATTTGATTCATAATATTTTATCAACAGTTTTTCATAATTGTTGTTTGAAGTGCATATGTACAATTGTAACATATCATAAAATAAATCATTGTTTATATGTCAATAGGTACTTGAATGAATGAAATTCTTGTATAAAAAATACTTATAAACATTCTAATATGCTATAGAAGGTTATATAAAAGTTTATGATGAATAAAAATTAAAAATTCTATGTCGAATAGCAACGTTGGAGCATCCTATTTTAATTCTGTCATTACTTCAAAACAAAGAGTTGACAGCTATCAATATCAATTTGACAAAGTGCACTAATGCTCAAAGAATGAATGTAACATGTAAAACATTACTACCAATTATGTTTAACAATAAAAATATAAAATTTCTGTACATAATAATAGTAAGTAAAGTGCCATCTGCCGGTTGTTTACGAAGATGCGCTCGAGGGTAAGATGGCGGACGGGGAAAACATGCTGGAAGAAGGCTGAACGTTCGACTTACACATTCCTCCTCCTTTTCCATGCCGCTGGGCATTTGGGGCACAGCACGATTAATGGCCGAATAATCTGGCAGATCCGGCAATTCTTCGGCCATGTAAATCGGCATGGGCTTGGAAGCGTCCAGGGCGCGGGCCCTGAACGACAGCTTGCTCATCCTGAGGCGGCTGGCTCGCGTGTTGACAACCGAGTTGGCTGGTGTCGAACCGTGAGGCCAGTCGGGTCGGCTCGGGCCTCGGACTTGGGGAGCGTGAACCTGACTGGGCCTGGTTGGGGGCCCTGCGGCCGTAATACCCGGCACAGAGAGCGCTCAGGGCCTCATCGTTCTCCGGCCATCGCGCTGGAACACGGTCACTCAGTCACCAAACGAGATATATCACTTTGAAAACATGTTTGCGTGACACGGTCCCTGCTCAAAGCCATCATGGCCGACGCACAGCCATTTAACACGTTCAGCTCGAGCAGTTCCGTGATGCGACGTGCGCCGCGCGGGAATCGGCCCGCTGCCGCCACCGGTCAACTTGCGACCGTCTATTGGACGCTTCAAGTTTCACATCGACACAAGCCTTGTTCACATTACCTTCCTTTACATTTCACATTTCAAAATAAAAAAATTTTTATTCTTTCTTAAACGTTTTATAGCGTTATAATATAACACATTAAATACTGTAACAGAATTCAATAATTTTCAAGCCAGATGGAATTTACATCCTATCATGCAAGGTGGCGTCGAGATTGGTAGAGCTTTCATTAACCTCTCACCGGTTGTCTCAATAAACGTACATACACACTACACGAGTTAATCAAAGTCTGATAACCCTTAAAACGTTAGTAACGATGGAAAATTACGGTTTTGCTATAGAAAATATATTTGCCGTATTTTCTTTTTTTTCTTTAAATACATTTAGATTGACAGCTTTTCCCCTGTATCCCCGAAGATACAAATTTGAAAATAGACGTAATAATTACGATTGATATTCCTACTAATTACATTAACTGTTTTCAAAAAACAATAAAACTGAAAGCAGAATAATTGTCAATTGAACAAATTATAAATATTGTTATCGTAGCTTACATATTTGTGTTTGTATTTTTAAGTACTCCTTGTTTGCGCACGCGTCGCACTCTTGCGGATATACCTAGTTTAAATTTTCAATTTGTCTGCACGCACAAAATCTGTAATTAAATTTGTTTCATTCAAAGGTGTAGGTTTTATATATTTAGTTTATAATTTTCATATTAAGTAAACGTTTTGTATATACAATAAAAATCTTTTCAATGCATTTATGAATCTATTGATTGCAAAAAAAAGATTGCGGTTATTTAAACGATAAAATTAAAAAGACTTCACCAAGTGATCGCAACATAATTAAATTAGAATCATCAATGAAAAAAGATGTAAATTGAATAATGCGAAGGAAAGAAATATAACTGATAATATCCGTAAAAAATTCTATGTTCAACCAGAAATTTAGGTTAGATAAATTGATACAACATGTCCAAGCTAACGGTGTAACATCAATTATTTACGACAATAATCTAAGATCTGTGAGAATAACAATCTTTAAATTTAATTTTGTAGCGTCCTTTGGTTGAAGTTAAACCATATTCCCGCGTATCGACATGGCGCATAACGTTGCAATTCTATCCCTGATTCCTAGGTTATCTTACCATATTCGAATGCAACTTCCAAATTTAACAGTATTTGACGTTTCGCCAGGTATTATTTTTGACATACACTTTTTCTCATAGCCGTGAAGCTTGAATTTCTTCGGGTCACGAGAGTTCTCGCAGCGAGCACGTGTCAAAACGCACTACTACTACGATCCGTTGAGTACTGAATTTGCGCATTTCACGTTTACATGTTGGCGGAAAACCCACCCAATTTAAATTTTTGGCGATGCAACTGTATTTTCTCATATATTAAATAATTCATTTTCTGTTTCAGATAAAACTGATACAATAGAAAAATTAAAAAGTGCAGATATACTTGTAACTGATTGTGATTTGTTTCTACCATATACAGATAAATTACCATCCTTAAAGTGGGCCCAAGTAACATGGGCTGGTGTTGAAAAGTTAGTTTCCAATTCACAAGATAAACAAATTAATTATGTAGTTACACGTTTTTCTTCCAAGGCTTTTGGTTTAGCTATGTCTGAGTATGTAATAGCACATATTTTTAATTTTGAACGCAATCAAAGACAGCAATACAAAAATCAGAAGCAGAGACAATGGATAACAAGTGGAAAAATTTTGTCTCACAGATTAATTTGTGATTTATCTGTGGGTATTCTAGGTTTAGGAAATATTGGAAAATCAAGTAAATATATATTTTTACTTCTCTACTACTGTTAAAAACATTAACTTGAATACAAAAGAAATACACTTTCAATTTTTATAGTTGCACAAAACTTGAAAGTATTTGGAGCCACTGTATGGGGAATTACACGGACACCACTGAAAGAAACTTTACATTACCTTGATGAACACAGAACAATTGAATCTTTACCTGAAATGCTGGCACACTGTGATTATATCATTAATGTTCTACCATCTACACCTAATACCATAGGTTTATTAAATGGGAATGTATTAGAGAATTGCAAAAATCGTGGTAGCGTTTTTATCAACATTGGTCGAGGTACAATTATCAAAGAAATAGACTTATTAACTGCTCTTGAAGAACAGTGGATTTCTGGAGCTATTTTGGATGTTTTTGAAGAAGAACCACTGCCAACAGAAAGTAAATTGTGGACATTACCACAGGTAAATTTGTAGTATTACTGTTAAGAATTAATACGAAATATTAATTTTAATTAATCAACATTCTTATATAGGTTACTATATCACCACATGTCTCAGGAGTATCTCGTGCTCAGGATGTAGTACAATTTTTTGTTGAGAACTATAAAAAATTTGCTAAAGGTGAAAATTTGTTGAATGAAGTACATTTCAAAGAAGGTTATTAATTATTAAGATGTCCATTAAGTATTCATGGAACTCTTATTCAATATAGCAACTGCATATAGTACAAAATTAACATAAAAAATTTGTAATTATAGTATTTTATAAAGTTAAAATAATATAAATATAACCATTTTAATAATATATTATATATGATAATGTATATGTATGTATGTATATTATTATTATTATTATTTCTGTAGAACTTTCTTAAAAAATATTTATTCTGCTTCTTGTGATACTGAATTTGAAGATGGTTTTAAACCTCGTATACTGAGGTCATAAACTACTTCTTCTACTTTTTTAACAGCATATTTTAAGCCATCAAAACGTTTTCTTAAGGAATCATTCTTCAAATGTAAAAGTCTAAAGCCTGCATTTAGTTCACTCACAAATCTGGCTATTTCTATAGGTCGATTATAATCACCATTAGTGACACTATTTATGGCAAAACGACTCTGAAATACAATGCTTAATAAGTAATGGTAATTATTTACACAATTACAGTACAAGACATACATACCAACTCTGCAGATAATTGCAACAAACCCATTAAATAATCTTCCAGGTCCAAGTGAAAACCATCTTGTCTGTTATTTTTAACTATATAAACAATGTAAATTCCATGTATAAGTAAATACAAATATAATATATGATTTAATATGTGTTTCTGACAAATAATGTACCTCCTAGCATTTCTGCAACAGTTTCTTTGGTAACTAATACTTTAATCTCTAAATATATTATTAAAGAAGCTAAGAAACATAATTTCTGTGTGACAAAACGCCATTGATCATGAAATCTATAGTACTGTTCTTTTGGTACAACTACTGCAAGTTCTGAATACTTTTTGCGTACATCTTTGAATAATTCTCTTGCAGCTGCACAATATTGAGATACTACTGCAAATAAAAATAGACAATAACTGCCTTAATACTTCATAAATCCAATAGAAACACATACTTATGTTTTCTTCCATATTATTCTCATTGTGAATATTTTGTAATATCATAAGAATATCCCTGGCACTCTTTTCAAGATCTTTTACAACTGCGCGGATTTCCTTAACAAAATAGAACAAAATACAAAATTAGTTTTAATAATATTTTACATACATTTCCTTTTCAATCGCCACTAGAATATACAATAACGTTACAAAACTTCATCTGAAAGTTTAAAAGTCGTTGAATGACAATCTGTCAATACGTTCTAACCTAGAATATTTGTAATGTGTTTTAACAAAATAATGTAACAGTATTATGTTAAAAGGTATTTGATGCCAAGTAGATTGAAGAACATCAAACAACCATTTAAATGTACGCAATAAATTTCTATTTAAATGATGTTTCAACCGATTAATAACATTGTTACTTGGATACGTAGGATCAAATTGGTAGCAAATTGTCAAGACACACCTCGCGTAATTCTTCTTCGTTATTTAGATAATCCTGAAACGAATTAAAGATTTCTGATATTCTTTCAGCCATACTTTTCACGACACTAGCGAAATTTTTAATAAACAACAAATGAATTTTATCAAAACACTTCCATACGACACGCACGGCAAAACCAATAGCAAAACTAACAGCTAGTGACAAAAGCCAAAAACAAGGGACCGCTAGCGTCATCTATACGAAAACGGCGGAAACTACTCAACAACTTACCGACTGCCTTCTCGAAACTCAAAGTATCGGTAAGTTATCAACTAGTTACCGCTGCTTTCTTAATTTATGGCGGTCTTTTTAAAATACAAGTTTGTCAAACAATTATTACTTTATTATTATTTAGTAATTATTATTACTAAACAACTATTAGTTTTTGACGTTTAACGTGTGACGTAATAACCAAGTGAATAATAAATTGGCAGACGAAGATGTTAAAGAGCTATTCCCCTGTAAAATCAGGGTACTACTATCAGGTCCTAAGATTAAATACAAAACAGAACCAACAAGCTTATACAAAAACACTTGACAAAAATGTTCTATAATGTGTGCAGGTACCTAACAGTTACCTATAATAAAAATGACCATCGTGTTGTTTTCCTATTCTATTTTTCAAGAAATTTCAGAATGTTCTTTTCCTCGCTTTTTGAACTCTCTGCTATATCTAAAATATATACTATTATTGAAATCGATGCAAAAGATCAGTTCATGACAACGACCGAGTCGTAACAGCGCTTTGAACAGGTCCGGAACCGAGTTCGTAAGCGCGCGAGCTCTAAGCTACAAGGTCTCGCGCAGTATATAAATAGAAACCAGTAGGTCCTGCTGTGAAGTCGAGGAAGGTGGTTGGAATTCTACAGGATGCCTCTACGTACTTTCGTAGAGGATACCTCGGGAATCTGCGGGCGTGTCATTGATCCCGATATACGCGTTCAAGCATCCGCGAGAGACTGGCTTTATTGAAAAGTTCACGCCCACGTTTATGAGCTCGCGAGTGCTGCGCTCGAATTAGCTAGGATTTATCGAGCGAATTGACTCGACATGAGTAACAGAAAGGATTGTCGGTTCTTTTGTTAAGCGTAGATATACCCTTTAGTGCGAATATCGCAGATGTTTCAATTTTGTTAGTTGCTTGATTCAAAATTTCTGTAAAATAATTATTAAGACTAGTTTAAAATTATTTCACACTAGAAATATAAAGCAAAAGCATAATGAAATCTCATTATCCTTACACTTTGTTCATCTCTGTTCTGTAGTCATCAATGTGTAGAGGAACCCGCGACCTTGCTGGACAACCTTCGACAATGCAGTTTATACATCTTCACGCTTCATCTACGATCGCCGAAGGTCTCGGCGTTGTTACTCATCGTATCGAAGGGAAATGCTGCAAGTAACGATACACTTGATTAATCGAGCGATCAGCGTTTTAAAAACAATTAAACTGTATTTCTAAAAATCTCTATACGTTCAAAATGATATCTCATGTGATAAAAATATAAATTTATCTTATACGATTGCTTTTTGTTTGATTTATAGTTGGATTTGCAATAAAAATGCTTTATGCTTTATCGAAACGGTGATTTTTTGTTTCCTTTAAATGCAAAATGATCGGCATCAGCGTGTAAGTACACACAAGTGCGAGCAAACAGATCGAAAAGACGTTTGTCGAGAAGAAATAGAAAAATGAGAAGGAAGATAAAGATGAAGAAAAAGAAGAAGAAGAAGAAGAAGAAGAAGAAGAAGAAGAAGAAGAAGAAGAAGAAGAAGGTTGGGCCACGACGGCCCGTTAAACTTGCATTCCTCGAGGCGCCAATCTTAATAAAATCCTGGTACCGTAGGCTGTCGTAAATTTTTGGTACCATGCCGTTCGTACATAGCCGTTCACATATGGTCCGTATGAACCGTTTATTTTTAGATGTTCGATCTTATTATCCAAAAGGAGATTGCAGCAGCCCAGGGTGCTCTTTTTAAATATATTTTACAGCAGTATCCATTGTACAGACTATTTGCATTTCATTCTAACGAACAATCGCTCGACTCACTTTTCTGTAAAAAGAAAAAAAAAATTGTTAAAAACCATATTCTTCTGAACAATCAATTCTCTACTATATAGATAAACTCTGGCGACTAAGAATACAATGACAGAGGAACGCTTTTCAATGTACACGTTGCACAGTTTTAGCGTTCATAATTGAGCGCTTGCCGCTCATCCCTCGCCAATGTACTGGTCATCTTACGCGTTATTTTCACAAGTGTTGTACGAAGCAAGAGGAATCTAGTAGTCGCTCAATATTTGTACGTTAAACAGATTTTCTTTGTCGTTTTTGTTACGCGCCCGAAGGATGTCAATATACCGACGCGGATTTGCAAACACGAACGCATCGACGCCAAGGGGATCGTCCCATTTTTCTCATTCTTCCTTTTCTTTCGAAAGCGTCTCGTTATTAAATACGGACAGGAAAGTTCGGTAGCTTCTGAATTACACGACACTCTGATAATAAGCGTGTTCGTATCGATATTATTTATCGCGGCGATTATCGCGTGTCCAAGAGGGAAAATATATAAAAATATTGTAGTTGTTGGCCGCATCGAAATTAGACATACGATATTATACAAGAGACAGACTCATTTGTTAAGCGGTGTTGTCGACAGAGCATGTCGATGTGAGTACCACTTAATGTGCTCAACGTACGAACAACACACATGAAATGCATCAGTGTAAATGTCAGGGTCACCGGCATACGTAGCAACCTTTCAGACAAACACGATTTAAATGCAGATGCTTTTGCCAGATTAACATATCTGCAGGGACCGTGTTCTAATTGGAGCATCGAAGCATATCAATTTTCATCACTCATTTACCAGATGTACAAATTTCAAACTATGGGAATTTCATTCACATTAGGATAATATTCTTTTACGATACCATTTTGTGTATGCATCCAATGTTCCAATTATAAAGCTGCTGAAACGCAAGGAAATAAAGTCGCAACAGCAAGATAAGCCAGTTCTGTTTTGATTCGTACAACTATAAAAGAGATCCACGTATGGGTGGCGCCGTGTTAAAGAAATGCCCCTGAGCGCTACCTTTTTACGTCACTGTTGGAGAATTTCCTACCCGCTGGCTGTTCGCCATCGCGAATCACAGTACCGGCACAATGTCAAACCGTTAAGAGCCGAAAGCACAACAGAAGAATCCATGGAATCCAAATAAACGTCTGAAAATTATATCTTACGCTCTTCTGTTACATTAAGGGACACGCATCGGGACGTGACCTGAGAACGAACAACTTGCGGAAAGCTACATTCGCCTCGACTACTTTTGCAACTTGTTTTCCGTCTTCTGTATCCCGATTTTACGTTCAAAAACATGTTGCTTCCTTAATTCACGGAATAAAGCAGCGCTGAACATGAAAACACAATAAAAAATTGTTATTTCAAAATGACAAAATATTAAATTACCAAATAAATGGTAAAAGGCATACGAAACCTCTAATGAATGACAACTGAAGTGGGATGTCCATGGAAGGAAAAGATCCTTAAAGGACGTAGAATTAAGAGACAATTTTCTGTAGAAAGATATCAAAGGACACCAGTTCTTCGCGTTCGGACACGAACAGCAAAACACGTCCGCGGGGAACCAACAGGTTTGACTTGCCAGACTAGTTAATAAATTATCGTAGTCTGCCGCCATCTTCATCTTCGAAGTTGCAAATGAGAATTCGGAATACTGGCCACCAATTGCGAAATAAAGCCTCACGCTGATTGCACACTGGTGTGCTACATGCAAAAGAAAAAAAAAAAAATAAAAGGTGAAACATCGTAACCCGTTTGAATGGCCCAACCTTTGAAACGGCTATCCCTGGAACGAATGTAATTATCCAATTAATTATGCAAGTCATCCGATATTTTCTTGTACTGTCATTAAAAATTAATAATTCCACCAAAATGTTCGTTCTTCCTAGAGTATTAAGCATATCAAGGTTTAGCGTTCTCAGAAGGTTGTCATGGTTTCAAAAAATCTCATAGACCACCCACAGCCGTCGAGATACGATCGTAGTTATACAATGACCTTGGCTCCATGCTTCGCTTAACCTTCCTTTTATTCCTATCATTTCGTAGAAAATTTGATTTTTTTTAACTGCACACAATTTTCAAGCATACATTGCAAAACATGCATACAGATACGTGAATGATAACAGGATATTAGCTAAAAAGAATACAGACATTAGAGAATGTTCACTGAACTATGAGTAATTAAAGATGATGTAAATAATATGCACAAATTATACCTTTAAACAAACGAGATCGTTTAACTTTCCTGGCGCTTAAGTTTGTTAATTTTTTCCATCTTCTTAAACTATACAAAATCATTTTTGTCCATAGTTGTTGCAATCATGCATAATTCATTTTTATATAGAACATGCGTAATGCTGATGCAGTTTTCGTGCACAGCCACAAATAGCATAAACACATACATTAGCGATGCAGCTGGGTAAGTGGGTAGGCTCACGTAGTTCGTACGACCTTCATAAAAACTCGTCGATCAGAGATTGCCGGGAATGTTGAGTGAGAACTCGTCGTCTACAGGGTGGCGAATAAAAAAGTAGGCGCCTATCTTGGCGAATGAGACACCGACGCTAACTACCATACCGGAGTAAATGGTAGCGCAACGATGTAGATATAAAAAAAAAAAAAAAGTAACGCTGATCGCGTAACGAAAATGAACATACGTTGAAATAAATATGACACCAATGCGATTTAGATTTGATACGAAATTAAAAACGGTCCTCCGTTTATAGATCGATCAGTTCGAGATAAGGGAAGTATAATTTGCGGACTTGGTTGCCCTTCGTTTCCGGGAGAAAATCTCCTCCTCCTTCTTCTCTGCCCGAATAAAGAGTTAAACGTTGAAATTCGTTGATACAAAGATTTTAGCGAATTTCCCGGGAATTCAAGGTTCGCATAAAAGAAAGACAGAGCAGCAGAAGGAGGGAGAGATAGAGAGAGCAGTCCATAGGTTAAGTCCCCACCAAAGAGGCCCGTGGAAAGATGCTGGCCGCTCTCACGTGGTTAACGCACGTAGATACATATATTATCCTGGCGCGCGCACACCTTAGCCTCCCGTGGTTCGGTGGTTAGTGGTTAGTGGGTGCACAGGTTGCCGATGTGCGCGCACACCGTGCGTGTCGTCGGGGTATGCCACCGGCGGCCAA